TTTTAAAAGTTGAACACAGCTGGCTTCCCCTAAAAACTTTGTATTTTCATAATGGTTATTACCAGTACCATGAATAATTTACTGATACCAGCTCATTAATATTCTAGTGGGAGAGTGCTCAGGCTAATAAAATTCATTTTAAAATTAGTTTTTAAAAATGTGTTGCTACAGCCCAAGGATAACGGAAAGTTACTCCAAGCAAGAGCACATCAGTGAAGTATGAAATTTTATGCTGTTCTGTTAACATAAAATAGTTGTTTAGCTACTCAGTATCCCTGTTTCATTTTCATTTCCATGGGATGAGTTGCCCAGGAAAAGGCCTCCGTTTTGGTGGTGCACGTTACCTGAATGCTATTGTCCTGGGAAGCATTACTGCATCAGGAATGGGGCAGGCTTGGCTCTGACATGTGTACCGCTTGTCCTCCTGGGTGGGACACCTCCAAGAAGGTGTCCTTTGCTCCCTCTATGTCTTTGGTTCTCCTCCAGGGCTTCACCCCTGGACCATATTTTTTTTAAATTAAACTTCCCATTTTGAGGTCATTGTAGATTCACATGCAGTTATAAGTGATACTACAGAGAGATCCCATGTACCCTTTACCCGGTTTCCCCCAACAGTACTAGCTTGCAGCATTATAATACACTGTCCCAACCAGAGTAGTGACACTGGTACAGTCAAGACAGAGGACATTTCCATTACCACAAGGATCTTTCATGCTGCCTTTTTATAGCCACCCACTTCCCTTCCCCCGACAAGCATGGATCTATTCTCCATCTCTTCTCATGGGGTTCAAAGATAAAATTGGGTCTCTGGTTTAATAAAAGACAAGAATACCCATAAAGTATGAGGTATAATGGACAAAGGATGATTGATTGGGTAGGAAAACTAAATACTTTAGGATTTCAGGCCATACAGAAAGAAGGCTACCTTTAGGAACCAAATTGAGCATTAACCCTTAAGTATACTGGGTCTTTAGAGGAGGTCTCTTGGTATTGTTAATGTTCATGTATTATTTACCCTGGCTGTGTTAATCATGGTCTACCTCCATTCCTCTGGCTGTGTTGTACTAGTGGTAATAACTGGTTAAGTCCATGGCCCCTAACAAATAGGGGTGGTCTGGTTGGTGCTCTCCCCTGGGATAAGCCCTGTGCTTCTCAGCAGGGGCTCCTAGAGGATCATGGAAAGTCACAAGATGGAAGTTGGAGATATGAGTTAATTATTTGGCTTCTCTTCAAACAGATGTTCTAGAAACAATTGCTTGACAATTCTTGTAATCAGGAGAGGCCGACGCTGTGTGGAGGAATGAGGCCCTACCTCAGCCTTACTCACCCAGCAAAACTCAACCCTGATTGAACTCTGAGATCTTCCTTATCCACATACGTCCCATAGCAGCTAAGTGTTAAGGAAGGAATCACAAGAGGGAGCTGCCAGACTTCTCTTTCTCTTTCAGTGCTGTCCAGTATGGTAGCCACCAGCCTCATGTGGCTGGTGAGTGTCTGAAATGTGGCCAGTGTGCTGAGGAACTGAACTTTTAATTGCATTTAATTTTTTTAAGTTTATTTATTTATTTTAGTAATCCTACACCCAGTGTGAGACTCAAACTCACAGCCCATGCAATCAAGAGTCGCATGCTCTTCCGACTGAGCCAGCCAGGCACCCCTAATTGCATTTAATTTTGATTTTCTTAAATTGAAGTAGCCGCATGTGGCTTGTGGCTGTGTGTGACAGTACAGAGACTCCAAGTTACCCATGTTAGACTGTTTGAGTTGCTTCACCCTCCTTAGTGAGGCCAAAGCAGAACTGCTTTTCATGGTTGTTCCCAACATTCTTTGGCTAACCGCCTTTCCCACCCAGCATCGGCCTCTCTAAAACATTTCCAAACCATCAGTTTGAAGAGGAAGCAAATATTTACTCTGCTTGGGCAGTGGCCATATCTGTGGCCAGCCAGCAAGTGCATGGCTGATAGTAGTGCTTACTTGATCCCTCTCTAATGAGTTAGACTTAGACCTCTCCCCATCTTTGCAGGCTTATTCTTGGGACAAGGATGGGATTTGTTCCTTGTGTGTGATACTGAGTCACAGCTTTTCGTTCATAGGCACTAAGATCAAGCTGTTACATTTCTTCCTTTGCAGGAGAGCAGTAATTAAGAGTGTGGGTCCTGGAATTACATTCTTGGAGTGGGATCTGACTTCTCCACTTTCTGATGGTGTGACGTCAGACAAGTTAATTAACCTCTATGTGCCTCCCTTTCTGCACCTATGAGGATCGAAATAGTCCCTGCATCATAAGGTGATTGAGTCAAGTAAATCCAAGAAGTGCATTAGATCCATAGTAACTGGGTCACCTCTTAGTATGATGAAGCACGTGATGACTATGAGCATGATAATGAAGATTTTCTGGAAAGGAAATGATTTGTAGTTGTGACTCTTACAAGTGCCCACGAGGGGGCAGCCCAAAATCATGCATATCCCTGGAACAGAGCAACTTGTGTTTGTAAAGCCTCTGGGTAATGTGGCCAGTTCCAAATGTGGTTGCCCTTTTCCTTCAGTTTTTTTCTTCTGTTTGAAGAACACTTTCAGTGGTTCTCAGGCTGTACCTCAGATAGAGGGCTAGCCCATTAACATCTGAAGGGTGGCATGGGCAATACAGAGTAAGGTTCAGGTCCTGCTGGGATGGACAGGTTGATATGGGTGCTGACACAAGCAAGCATCCGTCCAGGGGTGCTAAGCTTCTTTTTGTAACTTTTCACACAGAAGAAATTCTAATTAGTCAAACTCTTGAGGTAGACACTAGAGCCTGAAAGTGTTTAGAGAAAAGAAAAACCTGGTTTTGTCTCCCTTCCACAGACTACATGCCTGCCTTTGAGCATTGTGTGTTCACTTTCGGGGCACTGTTGGGGGGCAGTGCCCTGAGCTGGGGTGACCCAGACATACATAAGCCACCCTTGCCTCAGTAGCCTCTCCCTCCTCCCAGGGAGACTGAATCAGAGGAGAACTCTGCAGCCAAGCAGAATGAAATTAGACTTCTGCTAACTGTGTGGGAGGACAGAGCATTGTGGGTTCTGGGGAACTGTGGGGTCTTGAAGGTGGGTGGGGTTTAAATAGGTGTTGGAGTGTGGGAGAAGGGGTATCTTGAGCTGGAAGGTGTGTGGAAGAAACGGGCAGTGCTGATGTCAAGTTCGGAAGAGAGTTTCAGGTCAGACTTTGGGGAGCCAGCAATGATGAGCTAAGAAGTGGGCCTTCAAGTTCTTGATGATGTTTATGTTGTTGGTAGTATCATAGTTAAAAGAGTTAACTAAAAACAAACATGGGTAATGGCATTTATAGTCCAGATTGATTTTCTAGTACTTCAGTCTTGAGCTTTAATATCCCTGATATGTAATCCAGGCTGCAAAATCAGGTGCCCATGGGGAGTTGTGACAATCCAGTGTTTATTACATCCATCCCTATCTGCATTCCTGCTGCCTGTACCGAGTCCACGTCTCTGGTCTCTCTCTTGGACAGTCACAGGAACCTCCTCAAAAGGGGTGCAGGTCTACCGGGTATTTACCGCAAAGATACAAATGTAGGGATCCGAAGGGGTACATGCACCCCAATGTTTATAGCATCAATGTCCACAATAGCCAAACTGTGGAAAGAGCCAAGATGTCCATCGACAGATGAATGGATAAAGATGTGGTATATATACACAATGGAATATTATGCAGCCATCCAAAGGAATGAGATCTTGCCATTTGCAACGACATGGATGGAACTGGAGGGTGTTATGCTGAGTGAAATAAGTCAATCAGAGAAAGACATGTATCATATGACCTCACTGATATGAGGAATTCTTAATCTCAGGAAACAAACTGAGGGTTCTAGAGGGGAGGGGGGTGGGGGGATGGGTTAGCCTGGTGATGGGTATTAAAGAGGGCACGTTCTGCGTGGAGCACTGGGTGTTATGCACAAACAATGAATCGTGGAACACTACATCAAAAACTAATGATGTAATATATGGTTATTAACAATAAAAAAGGGGGTGCAGGTAACTGTGGCAGCAAGGCGCACAATGAGGTCAACATGTGACACTACCAGAAAGGAGGGCCTGGGCACTATGACAGTGAGTCTGGTTGTAGTAACACAGAAGCTGATTTCTCCAAGATGTGCTTGAACATTATGTAAGTAATGCTCATGAATGATTGATTGTGACTGAGTGCAGTAAATTATTTCTAATCCTAAAATTACCATGAAGCTCATTTGATCTTTGATTCAGAAAGCCCTTTATGGTCCTGTAGAAGGTGGGTGGAGTTGCAGAGCTCCTGGGGTGTTTCCTGGACATTTATGGAGGAAACTGCCATCTGTTCCATTTTATTTGTTGTAGATATTTAAATGACAAACAGAAATATGTTATATTTCTTCTTTTTGATTCTAAAATACTAAGATTGACATTGGAGCAAATTTAGCAGAACCAAAATCAAACTTGAGTGTTGTATTTCTCAGTGCTTACCCAAGGAGCTTGTACGTGTCCCTCAGCAGTTGGCTCCCTTCAGAAAGTAGAATGTTGACTATCTGTGTACTAATTGTGCCCACTTTTGTGCTTTTTCTCTCCCCCTGGGAGCCAGGCTTGGGGAGGCCTGGTGGGCTTTTTTGCACCCTGCCAGGCCTCCCTGGCACTTTCTGACCCCCTCCAGGTCCAGTCCTGGGGACAGAGGGAAAGGGCGTGGTTCTCCAGGATTGGCATTGGGGCCACTACAGCACAGCTTGGTGGGTGAGTGTGGAAGCTGTGGCTGCCACCCCTTAGCTCTCAGGGTCTCAGGGCCTGGCCGTGTGTGTGTGTGTGTGTGTGTGTGTGTGCGCGCGTGTGTGTGTTGGGGAATGTGTATTGGGCCTCCATGGATAAAGTGATGGCGATGGGTGATGTATGTGTGTGGCCAGACCCAGGGTGCGGGACCAGTGGCCCCTGATACTCAGCAGGTAGGGAAAGAGGGAAGAATTATTTTAACATGTTTTATTTTTTATAGGTATGGATGGATTTTTAAGATCTGACGAGAGACAAAGACTAGCTAAAGAAAGACGAGAAGAAAGAGAAAAATGTCTTGGTAAGTTGTGCCCTTTGGCTGTTTAGGTCCAAGGGAATAGAGATGTGGTGGTGCCTTTTCTGAACACCCTTAGAAATTGATGACTGAATGGGGAGAGAGCTAGGACAATTGCTAGATGAACGCTGAAGCACTGGGGAGCGAATTGACACTTTGGCTGGCATGTTCACAATTGTTATTTAATTCTCAGAACAGTTCATTTGCTCACTTAGCAAACATTGAACCCCTGCTATGTTCTAGATACTCTGCTAGAGACTGTGGGTAAGATGGTGAAGAACAAGAAACAGTCAGTGCCCCCACCTCCTCAGACATCCACTATGTGCAATCACTCAGGCTCTTTCCAGGGCATCTAGAAGGGCCATCCTCAGAACTGAGAAAATTAGCAGTTAAGACATTTTCTGTGTTAGGACGGGAAACCCAGTTGAGAAAGGCTCTCTTAGCTCTTGCAAACTATAGACAGATAAGTATGATGTGTTCCCCACAGGGTACTGTGGGGTAGGTAAATAGTGGTTTCCCCACTGAATTGACACAAGTGAGCTTTCAGGTTCTTCTTGATTGGCTCCTGCCAGTTGGTCACATATTATTTTCCCCAGGGAACCCTTCCCTGACACCACCAGGTAGATAGTCCTTAGAAAATGTCTTGAGGGGAATATCATGAGTTTGTACCCTCGCCTAGCTCAGTGTCTTCCACATTTTTTTTTTTTTTTAGGAAAAATACTCTTTATTTAAATAAATGACTTAGAAGTCATTTCTTGATCTAGTGTGTGGCTTAGCCACCATGACAGCTCTGACTTGGTGGTAGGAGCAGGAGTTGAGGCTGCCGTGTGCAGGGGCTGTTACCATGTACTTCCCATGCTTGGTCTCATCTAATCTTCACCACACTGAGTTTGCAGACACGATGGTCCCCACTTCACAGAAGAGGAAATCAAGGCAGAGAGATGATGTGGTTAGCATGCCCAGAGTCACCCATCTAATGGCAAAGATGCCAGAACCCTTCATCTCAATCACTGTAGCCTAGAATCCCGCTGGGCTCTTTTTTGATCTCACTCTTGCTTCTGCATTTTGATTAATCCAAACTGCATGGGGTGCTCTGATAATGACACCTCTCTTCTGCTTTCCTTCCCCCAGCTGCCCGGGAGCAGCAGATCTTAGAGAAACAGAAAAGAGCGAAGCTCCAATATGAAAAGCAAATTGAGGAGCGATGGCGGAAACTGGAAGAGCAGCGACAGCGGGAGGACCAGAAAAGGGCAGCTGTGGAAGAGAAGAGGAAGCAGAAGCTCCGGGAGGAGGAGGTAAGGTCCCAGGACCTTCAAAACCATCGCAGCAGCTCCCCCGGGGTTTGCTGCTCAAGGGCATCTAAGTGGCCTGCCCAGCTAATCCAGCTCTGGGATATGAGAGATATCTACTACTCAGCCTTCTCTCTGCAGCAAGACACGGTATAGTGAAAGCAGCACTGGAATAGGAATGAAGACACTTACCCATTCAACTCAGGTGTTAATTTGATCTTTGACCTTGGACAAGCCATTTGGCCTGTGTGGGTATTTTCTTGATTTGCTTATCTCTCTCTCTTTCTCTCTCTTTTTTTTAAAGATTCTATTTATTTATTTTACAGAGAGAGACAGTGAGAGCATGAACACAAGCAGGGGGAGTGGGAGAGGGAGAAGCAGGCTTCCCGCGGAGCAGGGAGCCCGATGTGGGGCTTGATCCTAGGACCCTATGATCACGACCTGAGCCGAAGGCAGACACTTAACGACTGAGCCACCCAGGCGCTCCTGATTTGCTTGTCTCTGAAGTGAGGGGTTGAATTTGGCAGTCTCCAAGCCCTTTCCAGACCTAATTTTCTGTGACTTTGAGACTCATAGAGGATGGTGGATAGGGGCCTGGTGATGTAGACTGTAGGAAGGGCTGGAGGAAGGGATGTGGGGGCAGAGGGTAACTTGGTCCTCTTATTCACAGCAGTCTGCCTTCAAATACAAACATGCTAGTATATTTAAATTTTAATGCAATTTCTTGCTTTAATCATCCTTTCTCTACATTACCTTTTAAAAAAGAAACGGAATGTTGTTACCACTGTAGAGTCCTTTATTACTAAACTTTGAAAATATATTTAGAAAGCATATTTGGGGTATAGATTTTCTTAACAAGTATATTCTAAGGATGTAATCAAAGCCTTGTATCAGGTGATGATCATTTTTTATTCATAAGATATAATGACTCATCATTTAGTATAAATAATATAGAGGTTTATTAATCACCAGCTCTATAGGATTCAGAGACATTTGTGTAGATTTGCTATCTTTTTAAATCTCTGTATAGTTTATGACTATACATCTTTTACCCCTTCCTCTTTTTTTTTTTTTAAATTTTATTTATTTATTTGAGAGAGAGAGAGAGAGAGCACGAGAGGGAAGAGGGTCAGAGGGAGAAGCAGACTCCCTGCTGAGCAGGAAGCCCGATGTGGGACTCGATCCCGGGACTCCAGGATCATGACCTGAGCCGAAGGCAGTCGCTTAACCAACTGAACCACCCAGGTGCCCTCCCTTCCTCTTTTTTAAATGAAAAAAACATGAACATGTGCACATGTGTACATACACAATTAGACCCATCTTTGTCCACAAAGCACTCATTTAAATGGTGATTGCTTTGTTCCTCTTGGCAAATGAAAGTCATTGCCAGGGTCTTAGCTCCAATTCATCATTGGTGGCTGTGGGCCTGACAACTGCATGGATTCATCTGCTCCCTGTGCAAATCCCAGCTCTACTACTGGGCTGTTGGTAGCCAGGAATAAGTCACCTAGCTCCTCATAACCCTCTAACTCAGTCTCTTCAGCCCAAAGCAGAGGTAGTCACAGGAATTAAAGGAAGTGACTTCTGTAAAAGTTCCAGCAAAGCACCTTATACAGAGTAGTGTTCAGAAATGTTAGATTCCCTTCAGTGACTTCAGCTGAATCTTTAATGGTTGCACTTCAAGATAATTTTCTGTTTGTGTGCTTCCTTTCGCCCCTAACATGGATGATAATGGGGTATGGGGGATACTGCCTGACCTTTGTCCCTACAAATACAAGCTGAGCTTGCTTCCTTCTTCTCCCCAGACACAACACGGCAGGGCTGAGAGTCTGGGCCGCCTGTGGTTGTGTAGCAACACGAGGAAACAGCAGCCTTCCTCTGCCACTGCTCCCACCTTCAGCGCCCCCAGAGTCCCAGGTGGAGGTTAGGGACTTTCCACACACCTGCCAGCCTGTTAACCACATCAGTGTCAGCAGTCTGCTAGTGCTGAGACCTGTCTGGCATTCTTGTGATCTTTGGAGAGTATGGATAGGTCTATAGTGCAGGGGCCCCTTTCCAAAGGAAAGCCTTGCATTTGCCCTCATGTTTCCCTGGAAATCTTTGACAGGGCTACTGACTGCTTGGCACATGGCTGTGTAGATTCTCCAATCTTTTCTCGTTCTTCTTGTCATGTTCTGTCTCTGTCAACCAGAGAGAAGCCTCTGCAGGAATGGTTCATTCCACTGCAGCCCATTTTGCTTCTGTAGCTTATTGGAAATTGTTTGGGTTGCCCTCCAAGGCCTACCTCTCTGGGGCTGGTACTAGGAGCTCATAAAAGACCTGTTGACTCCACACCTCCCTCCTAGCCCTGTCCTGGTTCCGTGTCCTTAGAGTTGCCATGATGTTGCTTTTGGTAACTCCTCACATCTGTGTGGGTGAGCCCCAGACTTGACCAGGAGGCTTCCTGTCTACCAGTACAGAAGTGGGCACCACAAACAGCCTGGCTTCTAGAGGTCTTGAGGACTGGGAGGGCTGGAGGCTGGTCAGGCCTGTCCTGGGGAAGGGGATATCCAGTCCACTTGAGATACTGACCTTGAGCTCATTCTCTCACTAAAGGCTGCTTTCTCCTCAAGGTGGGTTCTTCTAATCCTTGCATGCCACAGAGCTCCCAAGACGCAAGCTTTTCGAGTAAACCCTTGTCACGTGCTTTGGTTAGGGCTGACAACACAGTGCACTCACCCATTCTCCCCTTGGAGGAGTATAGTTTCCTGACTAGAGGCCCTGAGAAATGGGATTTGGTGAAGCCAACTCCACGTTCCTCATGCCAAACAGATAACCAGGAAAGGCCTCTGTCAAAGAGTAGCTTCATCTCATACTTCTCAAAATCTTATTGCTTGATACCTAACAAAACCCCCCAGGCTGAGTGTAAAAAGGAGAAATTTCTAAACTCACCTAAACAAAAACTTCACTAAACTGAGAGCTAGCTGGTCTCAGAGGGCATTGGCTGACATGGGACCATGGTGACTGTGGCCTTCTGGCCAGATGTAGACATCTGTTTGTAAAGAGAAAGACCTTCTGCAGAGCCCGACTGAGAACCCCTTGGGGGCTTGTTCCCACACTGTTTTCCCAAGAACACATGTAGTAAGGGCAATGGAAAAGGCACAACCAGCTCTCCATTCCTGCCAGAGATGGCTGTCTGGGTCATCAACAGTGCCTAGGCTGTGCCCTGCTGGAGGCCTTTTATAGTCCTTGGCCAGCTCCATGAGTCATTTTGGTCTTGGTTCTTCTCCTCTGAGTTCATCCAGGCAGATCTAGGGCCAGAGCTAAAGGGGTCAAGGGTGAGGTCCCCTCATTCCTTCCACTAAGCTGTACCCAATAGAGGACATTCTTTTTTTTTTTTTTAAAGATTTTATTTATTTACTCATGAGAGAGAGAGAGAAGCAGAGGGAGAAGCAGGCTCCCAAGGAGCAGGGAGCCCGATGCGGGGCTCGATCCCAGGACCCTGGGATCATGACCTGAGCCGAAGGCAGACGCTTAACCATCTGAGCCACCCAGGCGCCCCAATAGAGGACATTCTAAGGACAAGAATCTGCCTTGCCCTTTTCCCATCCTCTATTGATCATCTGATGATGCTCAGGAGAACGAGAATTTGGCAGGAATTTTGGTATGCAGTATGCAGCTCTAACATTTATTAATACTGTTCTTCTGGTGTGATTGAACTTTCTCGCATGCTCTCTTATGCTCACCCTTTCCTCTAACCAGTGGTTCTCACAGTGAGTTCAGGACCAGAAGCATCCACATAGCCTGGGAACTTGTCAGAAATGCAAATTCTTAGCAGGTACCACCCCAGACGTGTAGAATCAGAAACTCTGCATGTGGGGCCAGCAATTGGTGTTTTAACAAGCCCTCCAGGGGATTCTGATGCAAATTCACTCAAGTTTGAGAATCACTGCTTTAAACTGTTCTGTTAATTTTCCTTTACCAATTTGGATTCAGTTAGTATTGGTTAAGGACTTATTATGCTAGTCATTGTCTCATAGACTTGAGTGCTCTGATGATACAGGTAATGTCATCCCCATTTTATTAAAGATTTTATTAAAGAGGGAAAGGGAAAGATCTCAAGCAGACACTACACTTAACACTGAGCAGAGAGCCCGATACAGGGCTCAATCCCACGACCCTGAGATCATGACCTGAACTGAAGCCGAAACCAGGAGTCATTTAACCAACGGAGCCACCCAGGTGCCCTCATCCCCATTCGATCAAATGAAGTAACAGAAAATTCCTTTCCCGCCTCCCTCTCCCCCGCCCCCCGCCCTGACACACACACACAGAGTAATAGGGATTTATATAGGACTAACCTCTAGCAAGAGTGAAGTGGGCCTGTTTTGTTTAAGATTTTATTTATTTGGGGGGGGGGAGAGAGCACAAGCAGGGGGAGGGGCAGAGGGAGAAACAGAGTACCTGCTGAGGACCCAGGACCCTGAGATCATGACCTGAGCCAAAGCCACCCGCTTAACCGACTGAGCCACCCAGGTGCCCCTGGACCAGTTTTGTTTTTGACATGTTTGAATCACCCCATTCTGATGATTTTGGGTTCCATAAGTCTTACTGTAGAGCTTGGTTACCACCTATTTTTCATCATCTCTGCAAAAGCAGGTGACACAGAGTGATTGTGTCCTCTTTCAGGGATAGCTTCATTTTCATATGCCTGCTTATGATTCAGAGGAATGTATCTCTAACAGTGGAATTTGGAGCAGCTCAGTGGGTTGGAGGTAGATGGTAGAAGTTTTGTTTTTGTTTTCGGTTTTTTTTTTTTTAAGGTAACTGAACAGTCCAGTGGTAGGTCTGGATTTGGGTGAGCATTTCCTCATAATTATACCCGTAAATAGCTGCTCAATGGTAAGTTTGGCTGGCAAGTCTTGGTGTTATTTGTTGTCATTGGTCTCCTGATAAATGAAGGACTGTCTTGTTGAGGTCCTTTTGGCATGTAGAAAGTCTCCTATAACCCACTCAACACTAAATTCACTCTGAGGTAAAAGGTTTCAACATTTAAATTATGTCATTGGTTAAATACTTTATGTTAAATCCATATAATGAAATACCTCTCAGCCCCAGTCTCAAGCGACTGTACTTGTAAAGAGAAAGATCGAATAGTCAAAAAGTTCTAGTCCCTCCAAACCGCCCACTTTTCTTGGGTAAGCCCTTGGGGGTTGGCTGTCAGAATTTAATGGGCCAGGGTCATGAGGACAGGACTTTGCTAGGAAGTGCACACTCATGATTGTAGAATCTCAGCCAGAAACTAGAGCAAATAAAAATCTGAGATTTACAGGAGGAAAAAAAAATCCCCTTTCTACTCAGAGGTCCCTGGAGAGGCCATCTCTTAGCAAAGTGCTGTTCAGAGAAAAATTATGCAGAGGAAGCCAAGATGTGCATAATGCTCATCCCATCCCTCTAGTATATACAAAAGGGATAGATGCAGATACCTCCTAAGTGACCTTTCTGTGTTTCTAGTAAGTAAAATAAAGGAGCCTTTCCCTGATTCTTAAGTCATGGTTACACAGTTGGTGCTGCCCTAAATTAATTTTGCTTACTTTTTATTCAAGCCATGAGAAAATAGTTATCTTTTTGTTTTGGAGTTGGGCTAGGATGACCCCATTTCCTTAGAGTACCTCAGGGTTGGGTTTTAATGAAAGGAGAAGGGCATCAGCATGTACCTGTTTACCTTGCGTCAGGCCTTGTCCAGTAGAGGCAGGGAGAGGATTTGGTATTTGCAATGTCATTGGGGTGGCAGGGAATGCAAAATTAAAACAGCTTCACTCCAGTGCCAAGGAAAGATTTGCCAGCATTCAGACCCAACTTTATGAAAATAACACTTTGGTTAACACAGGAGAGTGCTTCTAATAAATGCTCTGGTAAGGAAGAAGCCTGGTTGTTGTTGTTTTTTCTTCTGGCTAAAAACTGTTTAGTTCCTCCTCCCCTCCCCCCATCTAACTCTTGAGAATGTATAGATGCTTTATTTTATGGCCAGGAGGTTTTCTACTCTTTTTTAAAATTTGAAATATGCAGCATTATCCCCAGAATACTATGTAGCAGGAAAATGTTACAATGTAGAAAACAATTGATTTCCTTTTAAGAAGTTCTAAGAGGAAAATGAGGCTTGATAAAATAGATCGCAAAGCCATGTATTACCCCAAAAAGTTATGCTTAGGGCTCTACAAATTTAAATTATATTTTAATTAAAATTTTTTCAAATCAGAATGCTTTATGCTTTTCTACTAGAGAGAGTGCCCTTGGTTCCAGAGCACAATTCCAGATCTATTCAATGAGGCAAAATGGTACTTGAGACAGGCCTGAAAGAGTTAATGCTTATCTGGCATTATACTTAAACAAATCAAGGCCTGGCTGCGGCAACAGCCTGCCCCTTGGGGCTGGGAGCCAGCGCAAGCTGCATTGTTTACTCTCCACCCGCTAAGATCTCGCTAGTGTGGTGGAGAGCACATGTCCCTGGGTTTTGGATGCTGAGCACCGACAGCCCCATTTTGTGACTCACCCTGAGCGCTGAAGCACAGCAGCACGGTGGGGCTGGGTGGTTATGTTGCTCTCCCTTGCGTGAACTGGGCAGGAGCGGCTGGAGGCGATGATGCGCCGGTCCCTGGAGCGCACACAGCAACTGGAGCTAAAGAAGAAGTGCTCGTGGGGAGCTTCGCTGGCCACCGGGCCTGGAGGTCGTGATGGTGAGTATAGGGCTGTCCCTGCATTGCAGGGCCCCGGTGGGAGATCATGGGGGCAGGCAGCAGATCATGGGCACAGGCTGGTGCCCATTGGATCTGGGGCATGCTTTGTAGTCACCTGCAGGTACCTTTTTCAGATGTGATGCCAAGCTTCCTGTGTATGCATTTCTCATGAAGGGAGTCTGTGCGTTCCTTTTGCTAGCAAACAGCAGTTGATACAGTAACTGGGCTTTAAGGGAAAGCAAAAGAAAAGCGAAGAAAATGAATGCAGAGCCTGGTTAACCAGATGCATCTGGCAAGCCTAGCGGTAATCTAATTTCAGGGAAGGTCAAATAGCAGTAGACTAAGTCACTGCTGTACCATGGCCTGGAAAGGCTGAGCAGCGGTTACCTAACCTCCAAAAGGGGCTGGGGCTTTTCCCTCCTCATTATTCATTTTTGTTGCTCTTTCAATTTTGTTTCAAGGTGACTTATTTATTTCATTTTCCAGATCATACTCATCTTTAAATTTTCAAGTGTTTAATGGGTGAACTGTCACTAGTCTCTGCGTGGCCTTTCTCTCTCTTCAATGTCTTCTTTTCTATGATCTTGTCATTTTATTACACAGCTCTTTCTGAGAACAGATGGGTTCTGTTTGTAGTACAGTTGTTTGACTTTGCTGTGCTGTGCTTTTAACCTTTTGTCAGTGAATATACTTTATTTCTTTTTGGGAAGTCAATAACCCATTTCAGTTACTTTTTCTAATTTCCTAATTAGAAACTAAAGCAGAAATTGGGACTTTTTTCTTTTACCTCTCTTTGCTCTGATTTTTTTGCTGTGTAGGTGAATCAGAAAATACCCCACCCCCTCCTCTAGGTTTAGCAGCCAGCACCCTCCCTCCGGACCCAGGGACCACTGCCACCACTGCCGAGTCCACCAACGGTATATCTGAGCTTCACCGTGCCATGGCGTTTTGTGATGACTGTTCTGATCATTCCCCTCCATCACTGTGTCTGTCTCAAGCGCTTTACAATTGATTTCTTAGACTGACCCCTTAGAACTTTTTTTTCTAGAAATGTGAATGACGTGCCCATATTTCTTTGTTCCTCTGTCATCATGGAGCTGTGCATGCCTTACACCCTAGTGCCCTGGAGACATTTCATCTTTAGCTCACTAACTTCTGCCTTGAAAATCTTGTCAGTGTTTGACTTTTGTGCATTTAGATCTTTAACACTCTCATTAATTACTGGTTTTAGGCATTATGTAGTAGGGTGTTTGAGTCACTTCTGATTACCAAAACCTGTACTCTTAAAAAGAGTTCTGGGTGTTAATGTGATGGATTCCTGGAAGAGGTGTTTGAGACGGAGTGGTAGGGAGTTTATCAGTACTAACACTGGGAATCCAAGCAAGGAGATAAGTTTGCTTTGTTCTTGATTTTGTCTCTCTAATAGGTTCTTTGTTTTTGGATTCAAGCCTGGGAAATTCTTAGGTTCTAGGACAAGAACGGAATTAGTAAAACTTTTCTCCCAGTTAATACTTTAGAAATTCAATCTATCTTTGGCTGGCAAAGAAAAAACAAGATGTAAAAGGGATGCAGTATTTACCAGCAGCACAGGTCAAATTACAGCAGTAGGAATAGTTATCTTTGGTTCCCAGCATTCCTTTGACAAAGGAAAATCCTTATTGGTGTTGCTGAGTAGCAGAGAATTTGCTCCATGGGTCAGATTAACTGTAGTGTGGCGCTGATCTGCCCCTAAAAGAGAGGGGCAGTAGGTAGAGTTGATAATTACCCCTTGGGAATCACACCCAGGGCTTGGGGCCAGGGTGAGGCAACCACAGTACTTGTTTTGGGCATACAGTTTAAGGAAACACCTTATCAAGATTAAATAATATTTGAATAAATCAAAATTAATACAGAGCAATCCATGATGAACAAAATACCAAATTTCTAAAGACAAGTACCATACTGAGCCAGCCATATTGGAGCATGAGGCAAAAGGGTGGAATGTGTACCCCTTTACACATAGTTTTACATAATTTCTACTGGTTAACTTTTTTTCATTAAAGTAGTTGAAAAATGGGGCACCTGGGTGGCTCAGTCGTTGGGCATCTGCTTTTGGCTCAGGTCATGATCCCAGGGTCCTGGGATCGAATCCCACATCGGGCTCCCTGCTCCATGGGGAGCCTGCTTCTCCCTCTCCTGCTGCTCCCCCTGCCTGTGCTCTCTCTCTCTTTCTTTCTCTGACAAATAAATAAATAAATAAATAAATAAAATCTTTAAAAAAAAGTAGTTGAAAAATGCTGAAAAATTGAGTAGATATGTTGAAACTCACATCATTTTAAATTTAAATATTTTATTTATACCAAAATAGAATTTATTGTAATTTCATTTCCGCTTAAGAGAATTAAAATTTACTTAAGATTGTCGCTTGGTCAGGACATACTGTAAAACAGCAAATTTCTCATTTGGAAACAAGATGAGAGGAATAGTTTTAAACATAATTAGTGATGAGTTTGCTTCCTTTAAAGCCAAGGGTGCACATCCTTCTTTTTGTTTCAGGCTTTTGATATGGCTTGACAGGGCATTATCAGCACCTCTTCATTTGCTGTAATGGTTTAATTCAGAAACCAGTCTAAAATAATGGCTGGAAAATAAGAATACCAAATGTAGGGACCACATGTTAAAATCCTAACCATAAATAGTCACAGCATTAGAAAAAGGGCTATTGTGATCCCATCTCTTGAGAGGAGAAAGAAATCAACTGCTAAAGGTTGTTCTGCTTTAAATATAGCTACTTGCATTCCATATTACTTCTTTCTCCACCCTGGGCCTGTAGATAACCTTCAGAAAAAGTCTGCTTTCAGCTCACACAGTCTCAGACCATAGAACATTTTTCCAGTGGTGATTTGTCTCTGGGTCCAGATTGGTTTTGTTTTTGTGTAGTCTGAATATGCTTAAAAGTCCCTGGACACAGGAAATGATTTGCTGGTGGGATTAGCATGGTTTTAGTTGAATAGTTGAGTGAGGTTTCATATTTGAAATTGAAGAGAAGATCTTGCTTCAGACTGATGGCTGCCGTGGCCTGGGCATTTCCAGATAGGCTAAGTGCATAGCAGGATGATGGAAGCCATGTGCTATGCCACAGCAGTTTAGGAGGCGTGTGGATGAGGACAGGAAGAACACTTTTGGGATATGTGTTTCTCAGTCTACAATGGTGTGAGTACCAATGTCTTTAATGCGTTTCTCTGCAGCATGTGACAAACTTTCAACATCAACCATGAATTTGCCAAAGCAGACGGAGCCTCCCATGAGTAAGCGCCTGTCTTCATCCACCGTGGCAATATCCTATTCCCCAGACCGAGGCAAGTGAACGTGTAGACCTGGTCTCTGTGGTTTTCTTCTTTCTAGTGTGAGCGTCTTAACATCAGTCTTTGTGAGAGCCCCTCTTGAGCCTTCTGCAAATGCCTCCATTATTTGCATTCAGCCTTGTGGTGTGAATGTGGGAGCCCCAGGGCCTCACTTAATGGGACTTTGGAAAGTGGCATCACTCTTTAGAGCCAGTTCGTTGTTGAATAGCTACAGGAATTAATGATATTCTTTCAGTCTGAAAGAGATTATTCCATTTTCCACAGTACACGTAGGAGTTATCCTGCCCTAGAATTAATTGACCAGTGGGCAGATATGACTGTTAAAAAAGTAACTGGTTATTGATGTGATCTACTTGATTAGCCAGAAATAGCAGAATTGATCATGAAGAGATAGGTGGAAAACTTAGTTGTATGAAAAAAAAAATTGGACTGTTATTGTCTGAGGTTTGTAGGCCTGCCCTTTCTGTTTTGAAAACAGAAGTTCAGAGCTAATATGAAGACTTTAAAAGGGGAAAAGGATGGGAGGCCTGTTCCGGCACTCACTTTGAGGTGGAGGATGATATGTATAGGACATGTGCCGTTTCCAGAAACTGAATAGATTTAAAACTGCTCGTGTTCTAATAGAGGCTCAGATAAGTTACTAAAAGTATGAATTTGTACCTCTCAGAGAATGTAGGTTAAGGAAGTGAGTGAAACTTCATGCATTAAGTGCGTGTTTTAACACTGGAGAAGTGTCAGCTGCCAGTGGACTATTTAACAGGTCAGGCATTACCAAGGGGCAAGCAGGAGAGTGTTTGTGACTTTGAAGAGGCCAGTGTGCCTTTCTGGTGGTTTTTCAATGGCATTGACCTTGCACCTCCAGCACAGAGGCCTGTCATGTGTGTCAGAGACCCCATAAGTGTCAGTGTTGCTGATCTCTGATGCAGTTCATGGTTGAACTGAACGCTGGAAACCTTGAATTAATTGAGAGCTGGATGAGAAAACATCTCCTTGCTTTTAATTCTATATGGCTTTTCCATAGTGAGTGTATTCCATATGTTTTCATTAATTCACATGGTTACAAATTGAGGTTAAATTCATATTTGCATTGATTACTTTGTAAGGATACCAGGATGTTATTACATATTGTTGACGACTGAATTATCTGCTTGTGGATTATAAATTGAAAAATTTTAATTCCCAAACCATTTATTGGCTAATGGGTACCCAAGAAATTCAAAGTAATGGAAAAGTTAATCCATTACCGTATAATATATTCCAAAGCCATCAAAATGACATTTCAGTCGCTGTGTTTTAGATTATGATTACTGCTACTTCCATTAAAGCCGATAATTAGTTGGCTATTTTTGCTTTTGTGGTTCTTATTTAATTTTTGCCCTTATGTACATGGAAAAAGTATGAACAGATACATATTTATACATTAACAAAATCAGTGTATAATGAAATGTTTTTTAACAGAGGACCCTAAAGTGTTTCATAGGAGTAATCTTTTTTCAATGTTAGATCTACTTGGTGAGTAAATGGTTTCTTGAGTCCATATTACATCTTGGGAGATGGGCTAATTCTCTTCAAGTGATACAGGTAATATTGTGATACTGTAATAGCATATTGAATGAATTCTGGCACCCCAAAAGAATTAACACACTCTCCCAAACTCCAAATGACACATCATTTGTTTTATTTTACTATGACAAACTCCAAAGCCATCCTTTGCTAGAGTATTTTTATTTTCCACATTCCTTCTGCCACCCAAAAGCTAATTTGCATCATACAGTGTTGTTTTAAACATTTTATTTTGCTTTAATTTTGCTTTTTAAAATTTTCATTTGATTCCATCCCTCAGCTCATCGCACACACCTTAGTCCCATGGAAACCTTTCTTGTTATGCGACTGTTGACACCTACACAGGCTTCTTTAGCCAGAACCAGAAGTGCGCTCATGCTCTCTGAGCAGGCCAATGACTCAGGTAAAAGAGGCCAAGCTGGTGACACTGAGGAAAATGCCCAAAGTGGTGTTGGTCTACCTATGAGTTATTCCTGAATTTTTCTATTTTGTTTCCCATTTGCTTACTTCGTGAAATGTCTTCAGTGCTTAATAACATTTTCTACCCACCAGTGTTTTGCTGTTACTATGTTTTTTTTTTCTTTTCAGTGTCACAGAGGTGAGTAACTTATTTTTGATTGAGAGCATGTGGATTAGGAAAAAGAATCTATTTCATGAGCTGTGGAGGTTAGTAGACTTTCTTAGATGATTTGGCAAAGTAGCCTGTAAACCACAGTCTCTGGAGTCCCATAACCAGATTTACCACTTACTAGTTCTTACTACTTTGGGTAAATTAATTAACCTCTCTAAGCCTCAGATTCCTTTTTTTTAAGATTAATTTATTTATTTGAGAGAGAGCGAGTATAAGTGCAAGCACGCACTTGGGGGGAGAGGGAGAGAGAGAATCTCGAGCAAACTCCCTGCTGAGCGTAGAACCCAACTCGGGGTTTGATCTCATGACTCTGAGATAATGGCCTGAGCCAGAATCGAGAGTTGGACACTTAACCGACAGAGCCACCCAGGTGCCCCTAAAGCCTGTTTCCTTATCTATAAAATTGAAATACCTTAAATTGTCATGAGGATTAAATGAGATAGGACAATGATTGGCAGAGTAAGAGCTCAACAAATATCTAGAGCCTTGCTGCTCAAGGGGTGGCCCATGGATCATCAATATTGGTATCACCCAGGAGCTTGTTAGGAAGGCACACTCTCAGGCCCCAGCAGACCTGTACACTGAAGTCTGAGAAACTATGGGCATCACTATCAAAGCTTTTTCTTGACTAAATCAGATTAAATTGTCATGGCAAGATTAATGAGGGCTGACATTCTCTGTTTGCAGATTAGCAACACTGTGTCCGCATTAAAGCAGGTCTGGTCTTAGTTCCCAAGAGAGTGTGTTCACTTAGATGACATATAATCCCCTATCTACTTCTGACTAGTTTTTAGAGACAGCCTACTAGTTTGAGTAGTTGTGGTATTTCCACAAAGAAATATACAGATGGCCAATAAGCACATGACAAGATGCTCAACATCATTAGTCATTAGGGAAATGTATATGAAAACCACAATGATATACCACTTCACACTTACTAGAATGGCTAAAATTCAAAGAAAACAGGGAAAATAGTAAGTGTTGGCAGGGATGTGGAGAAATTATAACCTTCATACATTGCTGGTGGGAATATAAAATGATGTACTCACTTTGGAAAACTGCCTGGCAAGTTCCTCAAAAGGTTAAACATAGAGTTACCATGTGACCCAGCAATTGCACTCTTATGTATAGAGCCCAGAAAATTGAAAACACACAAAACCTTGTCCCTGAGTAGTTCTTAGCATCATTAGCCACACAAAGTGGAAACAACCCAAATGTCCATCAACAGATGAGTGGATAAACAAAATGTGGTATATCCATAAAGTGGAATATTACTCAGCTATGAAGAAGAATGGATTACTGATATATGCTGCACCATGAACCTTGAAAACATTAGGCTCAGTGAAAGAAGCCAGACACAAAATGCCCCAAGTTACATGAGTCCATTTATATGACTTGTCCAGAATAGGGCAAATCCAGAAAGACAGTAAATTTGTGGTTGCTAGGGACTAGAGGAGTGAGGAAAGGGAATGAATGCTTAATTGGTTACAGGGTTTGTTTTGGGAGTATTGAACATTTTCTGGAATTAGACTGTAGTTATTGTACAAACGTGAATATACTGAAAACCACTAAATTGTACAGTTTTTAAAGGGTAAATTTTATGGTACATGAATTAGCTCTTTTTTTTTTAAGATTTTATTTATTTTGAGAGAGAGAGAGAGAGAATGAGAGATAGCACGAGAGGGAAGAGGGTCAGAGGGAGAAGCAGACTCCCCGCTGAGCAGGGAGCCCGACGCGGGACTCGATCCCAGGACTCCAGGATCATGACCTGAGCCGAAGGCAGTTGCTTAACCAACTGAGCCACCCAGGCGCCCCTCCCCATGAATTAGCTCTTAACCAAAAAATTCCTGGGAGGTAGGAAGTATCCCCGTTTTGAGAACAAGGAATGTGTCAGGAAGTCCCCAAGACCATTTGCAGGATCACTGATTCTCTAGGAGGACTCCTAACTATGATTTGTTATGGTGAAAGTCTACAGAGCAAAATCGGCGAAGGGAAAAGGCCATGGGATGAAGTCTGGGGAAGAGCAGGAACAAGCTTCCAGAGTCCTCTTTCCATTGGAGCCATACAGAGCACATTCCCTCAGCAATGAGTTGGGACATGTATGAAGTGTAACCTACCAAGGAAGCTTATTAGAGATTCAGTGCCCAGAGTTTTTATTGGAGGCTGGTCACGTAGGTACCCCCTGCCAGATACATACCCAAATTCCAGACTCTCAGAAAGAGAGCAGGTGTTGAGCATAAATCATGTTGTTTATACAAACAGCTTAGGCACAGTGAGCCACTCTTATCGGTTAATGGTGGGAGCTCTCCCGGAAAACAAGTTCCCTGATGCCAGGGCCAACCTTGTAAGCTGGCCTTTCCAGGGACAGCAGTCAGACCTTCTATGTTGTTCTTTTCTTTTTAAGGATTTTATTTATTTATTTGGGAGAGAGAGTGAGAGCAAGCATGAGCAGGGGGAGAGGCAGAGGGAGAGGGAGAAGCAGACTCCCCACTGAGCAGGGAGCCCGATACGGGGCTGGATCCCAGGACCCTGAGATCATGACCTGAGCGGAAGGCAGATGCTTAATGACTGAGCCACCCAGGCACCCCTTCCTTTTTCTTTTCTGCACAGTCCATCCCCTTTGTCTTTGGCAAAGGTAGCTTTACAGCAGAATTATCATCAGTAGGATTCCACACAGCAGGGTGAGGCCAACCTACGGTATTGACCTCACTTATACCCTTTAGGGGTTCTGGACTTAGCCAGTTAAAACACAGATGGTTAGCATAAAGGTCTGTCTTAGAAAGCCAAGTGGCTTCCTGCATGACTTTCTGTATGAACCTTTTTTTTTTTTAAGATTTTATTTATTTATTTGACAGGGAGAGAGAATATGAGCAGGAGAGGGAGAAGCAGATTCCCCACTGAACAGGGAGCCCGATGCAGGGCTCAATCCCAGGACCCCGAGATCTCAACCTGAGTCGAAGGCAGATGCTTAACCGACTGAGCCACCCAGGCACCGCCCCTCCCACTTTTTTTTTTTTTTTTTAACCTGGCCCAAGGCATCAGTTCAGGCCCAGCACAACCTGGTCAGTAAGATGAAGCCGTCCTCAAGCCTTCCAGGGCGAAGGCAGTATCACAATAGTCAGAACACACACCTAGGGAGTATAATCCCTAAGGACACACATGTCCCCTGGAAACTGCTTACAGTGTTCCACGCACCCCAAGCAGGACATACATTGGTCAGGCAGTACAGGCTAACAGGGCCTGTTGTGTCCCACTCCCACTTGGAGGAGAAAACCAAAACCGAAGACATTACCTGGGTTGTACTTCTCCCCTCACTTTAACCAGCATGGCCAAAACCAGCCAGAGGATCCAGCAAGCCAACTCTTGGAGTTGGATGGGTTATCTTCAAATACCATAGGTATTTTACCTCTTGCAACAAGACAGCAGCTGGGTTGCTGTTTGATACAGTGGCTGACACCATAGTCACCAGGCACCAGAAGGTCATCATCCTCCATGCCTTTAGGCTTTCTTTTTTTTAAGATTTTATGTATTTATTAGAGCGAGAGCAGGAACACAAGCAGGGAGAGTGGGAGAGGGAGAAGCAGTCTTTGCACCAAGCAGGGAGCCTGACGCGGCACTCGATCCTAGAACCCTGGGATCATGACCTGAGCCGAAGGCAGATGCTTAATGACTGAGCCACCCAGGCACCCCTAGCCTTTCTTTTTCAAACACTGCTTTTACCATTTATCCGTGAATCGGGGTCATTCTTGCAGTTCCCTGCTTCTGGCATCAATTGTATCAGGGGTCCCCAAGACCAGCCCCAGGTTTGGTGATTTGCCAGGAGCACTCAGGAGACTCAGCATATGGTGGCACTCACAGCTGTGGTGTGTTAGAGTAGAAGCTGCACAGCACATCGGCAGAGGGAATTGGCACGCAGGCGAAGTCCAGAGGACACCAGGTGGGAGCTTCCAAGAGTCCTCTCCCAGTGGAGTCACACAGGACGTGCTTAATTCCCCCAGCAACGAGCTGTGATAACACATGTGAAATGTTGCCAACCGGGAAAGCTCGTTAGAGACTTGGTGGCCAGGGTTTTATTTATTTATTTTTTAAAGATTTTATTTATTTGTTCATGAGAGACAGAGAGAGAGAGAGAGAGAGGCAGAGGGAGAAGCAGGCTCCCAAGGAGCAGGGAGCCTGATGCGGGATTCGATCCCGGGACTCTGGGATCATGACCTGAGCCGAAGGCAGACGCTTAACCATCTGAGCCACCCAGGCACCCGGCCAGGGTTTTATTGAGGGCTCATCACGTAGGCACCCTTGGCCAGTTACATACCCGAATTTCAGACTCTCAGAAGGAAAGCGGCTAAGTCATGTTGTTTTACATACAGCTTAGGCACAGTGAGGTACTTGTCAGTTAATAGCAAGAACCCTTCTCTAAGTTCTCAGTTGCTGACCAAGGACCAGCCTTGTAAAGCAGGACTTTCTAAGGACACTTTTCAGGGCTGCTATGTTAACTCCTGCACAAGGAAATTGACATTTAGAGAGGTTAAGTAACCTGCCCAAGGTGATCCAGTTATTTGGTGACAGTGCTAGTTCTGTCTGGTTCCAAAGGCCAGACTTGGAACTCATGAAATGAACTGGACTCTTGAGCATGGAGTATGGAAATCTTTCAAGATAGCGTCTATTCTGCATATACTAGAAAAAGTATGGTGGTATTTAGAGAATGTGGATTGCCCATGTTATGTTTTAACAGAAAATGTGTTCTTCCCAATTCCTTCCTCTCCCTACTTTTTCCTTCTGTGCTCCCTGTCTCTTTGGCTGTGATATTGTAACCTTCTAGTATCCCATGCCTGTCCTCGTGTAGCTCCTGCTGGTCCTCTTAAATCTTCTTACAAGTCTTCTCCCACTCGGAGTGCTGAGAGGAAGAAGACTCCATCTACATCTGGTGTAGGAGATTCTGGGAAAGGAGCCCCTGCAGGAGCGGAGGCCTCTCCGGTAGGTTTAAACCCACTCTCTCACCCATTGGGATGGGTTTATTTGACAGTATGATTACTCCGTGTGCTTAACCGGGGGTCTCTGTTTCCATCAGTCTCCAGAGACTGCTCAACTGGTGGATTTGGTTTAAAAATTCACTCATCCTTTGAAAATCATTTAACTTTTTGCATCTTCCTAAATCTGAGTGCCTTGGAGCAAATTCCTAAAGACCTTGTCCTTGTTACAGCCTGCCCTCCAGGGGACAGGAGTCAAAGGGAATGTTCTGAGTGTTGTCTTTTTGCTTTTAAGGATGCCAGTCTCACCTCTACAGGCAACTAGAACTAAGGTTCTAGGTCAGCCTTCAGTCCATAACAGTGGCCTTTAAACATTTTTGACATCATACTGACACCATCAGTAAAACAAATGTTGAAAGGGTACTCCCAATTATGTGTATTTATTTAGAAATTATACATACCGTACTACTTTTGTTATCACTTGCTATGTAATAAATCACCCCAAACCGTAGCTGCTTAAAACAGTGTTTATTACCACACTGGTTCTTTGGGTCAGAAATTGAGGATGGCTTAGCTGGGTAGTTCTGGTTCAGGGTCTGTCATGAGGGTGTGGTCAGGATAATGGCCAGAGCTATAGTCCTATGAAAGCGTGGCTGGGGCTCTTCCAGAATGGCTCGCTCACATGGCTGCTGGCCTCAGTTCCTTATTGTGTGGACCTCTCTATAGAGCTGTTTGAATGTTCAAATGACGTGGCAGCTGGCTTCTTCCAGAGTGAGAGATCCAAGGGAGGGGTGCGGGTGCAGGCGTGCAAGGGAAAAGCTGCAGCACCTTTTATGCTCTAATCTTACATGTTACACACCATCATTCTGCCATATGTTGTTCCTTAAAAATAAGTCACTAAGACCGACCCACACTCGAAGGGAGGAGCATCAAATGATGTGTGGACTTGTTTTAAGACTGCCACATTACTATTGGGCATTTATTTTATAACAATGTATGTATTTTTAAAATCCATTGTGGTCCTGAGGTTCTTACATGAGAAGTGAATGTGTCAGACGTTGGGTTTTACTGTAGGGTCATTTACTGTATTTGTGTGCATGGGGTGGGGGCAAAGGAGGGTTTGTTGTAGAAAAGTGCAATAGGGAGAGAAGGGAACCACCCTTGTGGAGCCCTCACTGTGTGCCAGGCACAGAGGCCATGCCTCCTGCCTCTTGCCGAGGGAGGCTGTGGGGATGATGTACAGGGACAGGTGGTCCCTTTGGGGCTGTAGTCCCCATTACACCAGGTACACTGTTAGAGTCCACAGCTCACTGTCTTGGGTATTAACCACATTTACACCCACCTGTAGTTTTTTGGGGTGATTATGTATTTTTCTACTCTTTCCAGTTTTTTTTTCTTTTTTAATTCCAGTACAGGCATACAGTGTTATATTACTTTCAGGTATACAATATAGTGATTCAACAATTCTATACATTACTCAGTGCTCATCATGATAGGTGTACTGTTACTCCCCTTCACTTCTGTGACCCATCTCCTCCCCTCTCCAGGAACCACCAGTTTGTTCTCTGCATTTGAGAGTCTGTTTTTTTGTTTATCTCTTTCTTTCTTTCTTCAGTTTTGTTTCTTAAATTCCATTTATGTATGAAATCATATGGTATTTGTCTTTCTCTGACTTATTTCACTTAGCATAATACTCTCTAGATCTGTCCATGTTGTTGGATATGGCAAGATTTCATTCTTTTTATGGCTAATATTCACATACTCTTTATTCATTCATTTATCAGTGGACATTTTCGCTGCTTCCATAATTTGGCTGTTATAAATAATCTGCAGTAAACAGAGGGGTGCATATATTCCTTCGAATTAGTGTTTTTGTATACTTTGGGTAAATACCCAGTAGTGCAATTGCTGGATCACAGGGTAGTTCTATTTTTTTTAAAAGATTTTATTTATTCATTTGAGACACAGAGATAGCATGAGCAGGGAGAGAGGGAGAAGCAGGCTTCCCGCTGAGCCAGGAGCCTGATGTGGGGCTCGATTCCAGGACCCTGGGATCATGACCTGAGCCAAAGGCAGACGCTTAACCATCTGAGTCACCCAGGCGCCCCAGGGTGGTTCTATTTTTTAACTTTTGGGGGAACCTCCATGCTATTCTCCACAGTGGTGGCACCTGCTTGCATTCCCACCAGCAGTGCATGAGGGTTCCTTTTTCTTCACATCCTTGCTGACACTTGTTGTTTCTTGTGTTTTTGATTTTAGCCATTCTGACGGGTGTGAGCTGATAGCTCATGGAGGTTTTGATTTGCATTTCCCTGATGATGAGTGATCTAGTTTCTATATGTCCAGAATCATAATATTCTGTTCATAATATTCATAATATTCTGTTCTGTTGTTAGCTTTTTTGCAAGATAACAAAGAGTAGGAAATCTTTGCATTTTGAGGGTGAAGTTTTTTTTTTTAATTGGATGACCTCAATATTGGCCACCAAATTGATGACCTCATGGTGCTTTCCTGCAAAGGTTCCCATTATGGGAAGCACTATAGCTTCATATGGACCCTTCTGGAAGAAAGCTGTGGATCACTTGCATCTGGATTTTTTTTTTTTAAGAAATTGTAGAAGTATTGCCAGTGATGGGCTATGGCTGACCTCTTCTGTGTCCCCTTCAGTCAGAGAAGATGAAGCGGGGCCCACGAACAACAACTTCTGTTCCCAGTGTGGGCCTTGGGTCTCCTCTGAGAAGATGCGAGTTTCCAGGAAGCATTGCTAAGAGGTCGTCTTCTCCAGTGACATCCAAGTAAGCATGTTTTCACTTTGCCACAGTTGGACAGTGAAAGCAATTTAGTGGGGCTCTGTACGCTGCGCCATGTGCTTCCTCCTGCCACATGAGTTGTGGCCAACCTGAAGAGGTGAGCAGGAGGAATGCTGGACTTTGAGTTACCTCGTTTACTCTCTGTGTATCTTTTGCATAAATGGTGGGCTCTTCAGGGGTTTGTTGCCTGGTAAGTATGAGATTCTGATTTCCGGAGATGATCCATTGAACATTTTCTCTTTTGGTCCGTCGGTTCCATTCTGCTTTTCTGGCATTCTCCTTCACCTGCATCTAGAGTGAAGTGATTGCATTGTGCTTGGGTGCTCAAGCTCATGTACTTGGGCACTCACTCTCTCCCTCCCTCATCTGTCTCTTCAACAGAGAGGAAATAATAAGTTGTCAGCCACCATCAGCAGTATGTTGTTGTTGTTTTTAAATGAAGCCATTATATTTTTTTGTGAAGCATTGGGTGAACTCGCCAATGAAATCGTGTCACTGAAAAGCAAATTCACCCTGTGTGTCCACTCTTGTATGTCATTAAAATATTTTGCTTATAACAAGAATGACTCAGTAAATAACTCAGTCTAGCAGAATGGAATCATCTTCTGTAGTACTGAGAGAGAAAGAGAAATATGATTTTAATTTGGAAAATAGAAAACTCTGTAGAGAATCATGTAAGACTTGTTTAGTGCATCAATTTGATTCAGAGAACGTAGGATAAAACACAAATTTAACGAACACTTGGGCGTTTGTTAAAAATATTTCAGAGTAAAAAAATATTTCAGTGACATCAGCTCTTATTTCTAATTTGTTCCTTTCTAACAGAAACTTTTTCTCTATTATTTTGTTCAGAGAACATACAGTTTTTATAGATTACTAATACCTGTTATTGATATATCTGTCTTCTATAAGGAAAATCCTTAAATAACATATTGCTGAATTAACAGCATCAAGTTTTTGTTTTTAAGTCCATTGCATTCTTTCTGTGCTTGTATTGCCTGTCTTTGGTTATGGTATTGCCCTCTTGCAAAATCTGAATCCATTAGGTGGGCTGTAAGGTCTCTATTTGTCTGTCTTATTTCTGAACCTTCCATTCACGTTACTACTCCGGTGTTAGGGTAGGACAGTAACAGAAAAGCCTATTCATATTGGGGTTTTTCCAGATTACACCCCTTTCTTTCATAGATACTGACTCATGGTCCCTGCATGGAGAGTAGCTGGCAAGTTTCATCATCATCGTTGTAAATTTCACTAAGGTAAACTAAGGAGGTTGTTGCCCTCTGTAGAGATGAGAATTCGGTTTTTGGAAGCAGGCTCACAGTGGGCTCTGTGCTATTTCTTTGACACTGAAAATCTTGATGGTGTGTTTCAGGAACTATTTTATATTTTTTAAATTGAGATACATTTGACAGATTACATTGTATTAGTTTCAGGTGGACAGAATGAATGGTTCAATATTTGTATACATCACAAAATGATGACCATAATAAGTCTAGTTACTAAGTTACTATCCATCACCGTACATAGGTGCAACATTTTTTTTCTTTTTTTTCTTGTGAGGGCTTTTAAAATTTATTCTCTTAGCAACTTTCAAATGTGCACTACGGTACAGTATTATTAACTAGAGTCACCCTGGTGTACATTCCATTCCATGGGTTACTTATTTTATAACCAGAAGTTAGTACCATTTGACCCCCTTCACCCATTTCATCCATTCCGCTACCCCCCCCCTTTCTGGCCACCACCAGTCTGTTCTCTGGATCTGTGAGCTTGGTTTTGTTTATTTTTTAAATTCCATATGTAAGTGAGATCTTTAAGTATTTGTCATCTGATTTATTTCACTTAGCACAATGAATGTCCTCAAGTTCTATCCATGTGTTGCACATGGCAAGATTCCATTCTCTTTTTAATGGCTGAATCATATTCCATTGTATATATATATGGAGCTATTTTATATTTTAAAGGATACATCATCTAAATTTTATAAAAAGCTCATTCTGACCAAAGAGACTTAAACAAAATCCCAGACCTTTTTTTGAAGATTTTATTTAGAGAGAGAGAGAGCAAGCGGGGGGAGGGGGGCAGAGCAGGAGGGAGAGAGAATCTCAAGCAGACTGTGCACTGAGTGCAGAGCCCAATGTGGGATTCGATCTCATAACCCTGAGATCATGACCTGAGCTGAAATGAAGAGTCGGATGCTCAACTGACTAAGCCTTTACCCAGATGCCCCAAAATCCCAGATTTTTTTTTTTAAAGATTTTATTTATTTATTAGAGAATGAGAGATCGAGAGCATGAGAGGGAAGAGGGTCGGAGGGAGAAGCAGACTCCCTGCTGAGCAGGGAGCCCAATGTGGGACTCGATCCCGGGACTCCAGGATCATGACCTGAGCCGAAGGCAGTCGCTTAACCAACTGAGCCACCCAGGCGCCCCAAAATCCCAGAATTTTTAATGCAGTTCAATTGAGAGAAATTTTTTAAATTTCCCCTCTATATAGAAGAGTAATGGGTACCTCATAGGTGCTTTTAAATATTTGTGGAATGAATGAATGCAAGTCCCTGTGTCCCGTATGCTTCAGAGAATCCCGAAATGAGTGAGAACAGTTTCCATTTGAACAGACCCCAAGTGAGGGGAGAGAGAGATGGGGATGCAGATGAGGACCGTTGCAGGCCTAGTGCAGAGAGAGTTGTCCAACTTAAACTGCTCATCCCTCAACTCAGCTCAGCTGCCATCCTCTACAGAACCAGCCAAAACTGAATTCACCCCCCTCTCTGTGCTCACAGAGCCTCATGGGCATGCTCACTGCCTCCTCTGTGCCCAGTGTTCTCAGCCCATGGGAAGCTTACCTGACATTGAACGACAATTATAACATCAGGTGGTGAGAAGTTCTATGAAGAAAAATAAAACTGGGTCAGATGACAGAGAGTGGTGGAGTGGAATAGTAGCTAGATATGGTGGTCAGGGAAGGCTTCTCTGGGGAGGTTACATTTGAACAGAGCCCTGTATGGAGTGAGGGAGGAAGCAGGCCATGTTGATCTGTGGCTTCTTGCACTGTATCATCTGCTAGATTGCAGGGAGGGTGGGGACTGATTGGATTTATTGTTGCACAGTAGGTGCTTAGTGTGTGTCCATGTGACAAAAATTAGAAGGAAAGTAGAGCCTGGAGGGCGGGAGGGGATTGGCTGGTGGTATGGGCAGTGCTAGGACCATTCCTGCCCAAGGACTCAGGCCCTTTGCCTCCTCTTTCCTTCTGAGCCATTCGTTGGTTTTTTTCTCCTAATCAGTTCCTTAAATGTTCTCTTTTCTGGGCCGTGTATTTCTCCTGGGAAATGTTTGAAGGATGAGTGATACTGGCTTCTACTGTACTACAGCGTATTCTTGCTACTTCAGCAAAGAAAAATTAATGGAATGACCTTTCTTTTCATAGCCCTATGCATGCCATACCTAGGGCAGGCAGGAAAAATAGTAAACTCTAACACAGCTGGACTTCGTGTGTATTGTCAAAACTACCAGAATCATTCTCTCCTTAAGAAGTGCCCTGGGGGGGGCGCCTGGGTGGCTCAGTCTTTAAGCATCTGCCTTCGGCTCAGGTTATGGTCCCAGGGTCCTGGGATTGAGCACTGGGCTCTCTGCTCGGCGGGAAGCCTGCTTCTCCCTCTTCCTCTGCCTGCCTCTCTGTCTACTTGTGCTCTCTATCTCTCTGTCAAATAAATAAATAAAATCTTAAAAAAGAAGTGCCCTGGGGAGAGGAGTTTGCTCCAGTGCCTCTAAATCAGAATCACCCAATTTGAGAGGTCTAAGGAGAAGCAAACATTTCTTGATTTTAAGACATTCAAAAAGAAAGATAATTTCTCCCCAGCTGAAAATTAATGGCTGAACTACAATGGGTATGAACCAGGTCTGAGAAATGTGGAAAGTCAGGTAGACTGTAAATAAGTTCTGAAATTTCAGCCAAACTCAACAGCAGTGAAAAAGAATGGACTGCCTCTGCCCACAACCAGTGGGTGGATCTCAGGAACATAGAGATGAGCAGCAAAAGGAAGTTGTAAAAGAATATCAACAGTGACGTTTATATTGAGTTCCCAGATGTGTAAAACCAGCATGTTTTTAAGAATATAAATGTGGTAAAAATGAAAGAAAAGAAAACGGCGAATATAAAATGAAAAGTAATGATGGCCTCTGAGTGGGAAGTGGGGGAAGGGGTGAGGGAGGGGTACACGGGAGATTCCAGAATATTTATGATGTCTTTCTTTGGAACTGGTTGTTAGGTGTGTGGGTATTTGTTATGTCATTCTTCATACTTTCCCTATTTTATACATTTTTTTATGTTCAGTATTGAAGAAGAAAAAAAGAAACCCTTGATTTTTAAAATGGTGTCACATACAAAATCCCAGTCAGAGTGGAATTTTCAACCTTCCCTCTGTGCAGACCAAGTGTGTGTGATCTTTAAAGCATACTGGGAACGATGTGGCTTTGAACGGTGGTTTAGTTAGTCCTTTTGAACCCCCATCGAGAAACTCAGACAGGTCATGTGATAAATGGCTCTGGCAGCACATTGTTCTCCTCCTGAATCTCAGATAAATTAAGCCAGTGTTCCGTGGCTGTGCATATTAATGTCATTGCTCTTTTAAGTGTTCAAGTTTATTTCCATTGTTTGCATTGTTGGGTACTTGTATGGGTTTTAGAAAACTAGCTTCAGCAACACTCTCAAAGATGTGGATGGAGCATAGCTTTCTTCTTGTAACCTAGAGAGAGGAAATCAAGTGTGGTCATGTGCGTTTGTCCAACCTGTCCCTGCCTCTGAGAGTTAGTGCAGCCTGTACTCCTAATTCTTCAGTGTGAAATGTTCTCTAATGGTTTCAGGTTTTTAGAAATATATTCTAAGTCACTTTGGTCATTATGATAGGGAATGTTTCAGTTACCTCTTGCTGCTGTAATAACCCATCCCCCAAAATGTAGTAGCACAAAATAACAATTTGTTACTAA